TTATTGAGTCACTAAACTATTAAAAGTTATCAAATGATCACTCAACTATTCATTATATTTTAAACTCGTCATTTTCTATTAAAAGATAATGGTTATCTGAGTTGCACATTAACATGTTGATTGATATATAATAGTCGTATGAGATTATGAGATCATATTTTATTATATCTCAGTCAACAGGATAACATACAGTTCAAACTATCATTAGTTTTTTTTAATGAAAAATGATTAGTTTGGAACATAATGAGTAGTCAGGTGACCATTTTGTAACTTTAAATAGTCAAAGGACTCAGCAAATCAACTCCCCATAGTTGGAGGACCATTTTGTAACTTTTAACAGCGGGAGGACTTAATAAAGCAATATCTTATAATCAAGGGACCATTTATATGCTTTACCCTATATTTTTTTACACCAACAAACCCCATTATATGAAAAAAAAAATGCCCACTTTGTCCGGAATGAAAACTGGACTCTTTTTTTAATCGAGGAGAGCTAGCAGTAGAGAAGATGAACTAATAATAACAAGGAATAATTGTTAATATAATTCAACAGTTTTTATCAACTTAACGACCGAAGACTCATCCTTCGTTCAATTGATCTTAGAATACGTGCATATCTTGAATTTTTTTATTACGAAATATCACCTTTTTGAACAAAAGTACATGCTTACCCAATGTATCAAGAAAAACATGGCAACAAGGTCTTGATGTCTTTAACAAACTTTTGTAATAGAATGCTTTTTGGATTTGCAAATCGAATTATCATATTTCTTGAAGAGAGAACTTAATCCCCTGAAAAGGGATTTTTTAGCGTCTTCTTGAAGTGTCAAGGGATAGGAGAGGATTCCATGTCCCACTTACACAAAGACAAAGTCAGGATATCAATTTAAAGGGGACAGTGGTCCAAAACAAAGCATAACTGTATTCTTGAACCTAAATCTAAGTGGATTAGCAATGTGAGTGACATCCTTATTTAGTAAAGTCTAGATCACAGGACTCGTGGGTTTGCTCTGTTAGGCCTCATGGAGTGGGCTCTAAGAAAGCAAACTGAGACTTTCGATCGCTCATCAATACAACGAAATTGTATTTTTGAGTCACAATGGCTTAATAAGTGTGTACATGGTCTTGTGAAGCGCAAATTTTTCAATGATATTTGATTATTTTTTTCTGCTAGGATGATGATCCAAGTCAGCGTGCTTGCCGGCGTTACATTTAAGTTGGCTTGATGATAACAAAATAGTTATGACGGCTTACTACTGGTTTAGAGGGAGAGCTATAGTCGATAAGAAGATGATAATTGATCAGTGATGTTAGCATCAAAGATGCGGGGAGACTTGTGAGAGAGAATAAATGTATGTTTATGTTAAATATAAAGTCATTATTATTATTCCTAGACGAATAGATTGTGTAAATACCACAGACACTCAATAAATCTTTTGAGTTTATCAAGGGTCCTTATCCTTTGAAGAAAAACCCTTACAGAGATGATCTTAACATGCAGAAGAGTTTGCTGGTATCATTTACCGCCGGAGGTATAGCAGCATTGATACCATGGTAGTGGTTTGGAATAATCCTGGTTGCCACTGAGTTGCTTTAAAGAAGCTTTGAGGCTATGGCGCTCGAGTACGCTGTTAGTTGCCGAGTAAAATGGCGCTCGAGTCTTGACCGTGTTGGCTCAAGCAATTTTTTTATCTTCATAAAAAAAAAACCGGGGTTCATTTTTCAACACAAATGTAATTTAGTGGAAAATATACACGACCTCTTAAGAAATATCTATCTGCATAGAAAATCAGGCTGCATGCTACAGCGTCGTGATGACCCTGCACCTGCAGGCTTGAGGTGTGATTGAACATGATTTGATGAGTCGTCACTAATCTTTGATTAGGGTGTGATTGAACACTAAAAATTATTTTTTAATAAAAGTAATTTTAATTTTATTAAAACGACGTCTTAGGTCTATGTACTAAAAATTGAGTTCGGGAGTTGACTACGCGTGGGGAAGGATTAGCACCCCCACAGCGTCCTAAATAGGTACCTAGTAGATTAATTAGTTGACTTTGCAATGAATCTTACAAGTTTGAATTTAATTTAATTTAAGATCCCTTCAAATAATATTATTTGAATTTTAGGACGAAACACAATAATATTTGATTATTTCCTATCAAGAAGAAACGACCTCTCATGTCTTAAAGCATTCAATTCTTACTCCAATCGAAATAAAGAAATAGTACAATTCCATTCTAAAATTCATTCTTAATTTAAATTTCAAAATGCATTAACATTTAAATTAGAAATTACCAATCCTTTTAAAAAGAAGGATGTTCAATTATTTAAAGACGTCGAAATCGGACCTTTTATAAATTCTAACGATCTTTTCTCGAAGAATTTAAATAGACGAACATTTTTTCTCTCGTTTCCAAATTTTAAGTGTGTTCAAATTTTAGGGTTTCACTCGACGAGATACACTTTCATTTTAGAATTGTCGGAAGTAACTTTCTTATACGTTAAGACAATCACTCCATGACGACCTTAAAATAAAAGGGTATTATCCTTAGTCCAATCATTTGAATCGAGTCTAGTGATGCTTATGAGAGTGTCATATATAGGATGCAACAATGACATATTTGTTAAATAGATGATATAAAAACATAGATCTGCTTGTCAAGGCAAATGCAAATGTTGAAGATCAATAATATTTAAACTTGATTAAGAAAATATGTTCTATAGTTATGTCAGAGTAACACATAATAAATATCTCTAATAATAAGTTATGTGATAATTAAAAGAAAATACCTAATTCATCATATTTTAAAAAATAAAATAAAAAGAAAATATAAAAAGGCTAAAACATACTTAAAATAAGAATACACGTACGCGCACATATCATAATAATTTGACATAAAAACACAATTAACATACACCCATGTTGGTCATTTATACATACATAAAATAACCATATTACTCAATAGATTATATATATATATATATATATATATATACATACATACATACATACATACATACGTGCATATTCGTGTAATGCAGTGGGCTAGAATCCAAACAATGAAATTATAGGATGCCAAAAGTGAATTTATCCAACACGTAACCAAGAATTAAAAATAAAAAAAAAGACAATAAACACAGGAGCCTAATCAGCAACTTAAACAAACAAAAATCCTAAAGCATAAAGGTTGTATATTTCAAGCGTCAAAACCCTAATAAACCCGAATACAAACATGGACTAAAACGAAAGCCCTTGAAATAATAGGCCCGAAGAACAATCAATACAAAATACAAACCAACATATATTACGGGCTAAAATGAAAATCAGGAAAATCACATGTCGAATATAAAAACAGTACAAAATTAAAAATAACTTAGCATTGGACTGAAAAAGAAAACGCATAAACTTAGAGGCTACAATTAGAAACTTTGAAAAACTCGGTTTAAGAACCACAATGGAACGACCCGAACTAGGTGGAGTGCTCGCATAGTTTACCCCTCCTCATCAGACGTAGGCTGCCCTAATCCCCTAAACGCTATCGTTTTGGCCATGACATATATATGGTATTTTGGGTAAAAATTTTCCCTAGCCCCAATTATACATCAACCCTTTCTTCCTATAAGCTTTTTTTCTTCTCTAATCCGCCGCCTTCTCTTCTTTATTCTTTTTACCCATTCTCTTTTCGTTTTGAGATTTTCTTCCCATCCGGCCAAGGCAGTACCGTGACTGCCACCCCCAAACAACCCAATGAGGGTTAAACAACCCTAAACTAAACCTTCTCTAAAAAAATCCCCAAATACCCAAAGTGCAACCCCCTCGAACCAAACCCCAACAAACACCCAAAGGCGTTCGACAGCGGCTAGGGATCACGAAGAGCTTACCCTTAACGGCTCAACGGCGTTTGGATCCTAGGGGGGCGACGATGATCCTCTTCGGATGGGGAATGTAAGCCCTTTTTTTTTGGGTTTCTCTTTTTTGCATGCTCGGTTCACTCATAAAAAAACCCTCTCCTTTTGATTTTGATTGCTGGGTTTTTTCTGGTTTCGAGTATTGGTTAGTGATGAGAAAAAGGACCCTCTTTGCTATCTTTTGTTCTCGGTGTTGTGTTTTTTTTTATAAAAATGGAGGATTGATGGTTTTTTTGCTCCCCTCCCTTTGGTTTCTGATGTTCCTCTATTTTTAATGAGATTCCCCCTTTTGATCCTTCTTTTCCTCTTTATTTGCATGCACCGGGCGAGGACTCTGCATGGTAGAGGGATTTTGCCCCTCCCCTCGGTAGAATGGTGCTGGTTGTGTTACAATAGGGGTCCTTCCATCTGCCTTTGTCAAAGGCAAAAGCAGGTTGCTACGGTCATGCGGACGCTCGGGTACAACAGGGATGACTGCGATGGTGTCAGCATGGATCAGACCCACGGGCGCATGAGGCATTTGGAGAAGTGTGTGTATGCCCACGCGCGAATCTGGATGGTTAGCTTCCTTGGGTGAATCTAGATTGTTAGATCACTGATTGGATCAACGACTGTAACACATTAGCGACATCAACAATATTCCAGGGTATACAAACCCTAAATAAGACCTAATCTAGACCGTTAGACTTGTCCATCAGTGGTTCTGGGACTTGATGGAAGTTAGGATTTCTTCAAACCCTAGCATCTTGGGCTGTTGGATTTGGGTTGGGCGGTTACATCTCGAGCCTTGCGTGTTAACTAGTTGTAATATTTGGGCCTGTAAAATGAAATTAATAAAATTAGTGTTCTTTAAAATCCACTAATATTTATGTATATATATTCGATTTAGTTACTTATAATATATATATATATGTATTCCATACACCAATAATAATGTATATATATATATATATGAACACAAGCATAACTAATAATAACATGTAATCATAAATAATTATTAATAAGTAGACCGCATATAATTAAACACACATATATATTCATTCATATAACTAATAATTTAATATATGTGCCTATATAGTATGCACCCTAACATAATGTAATTAAATGATTAACCTAATAAAATCCTTATATTTAAACTAACTAATAAGATATACATAAATGAGACTTAAAGACTCCGGACAAATTATCTACAGGAACAACTGGTAGGCGACTCGTTGCTGCTGCGATTGGTTTAAGTCGACATATGAAAACGGAAGCCCAATAGAGAGTTCAAGATTGATGTGTGGGAAAACTTCTTCACTACTTAATCCACTGCTGCCGTTTGAATCTTCGGACGAGTCTGCTCTATTGTCTATGTTGGCAGGCACTTGCATCGGTGGCACCACGGTCTCTTTCATTTCTAATCTGAATCTATTAAAGTTCATCTTATTCTTGTTACTGCAATTGCTGCTGTTGTTCGTGGTGGAAACCGAACCGAGTGGACGGTGCGTTTGAGCATCGATCCCTCTGCTATACAACTTTCTTTTGATATGAGTGTTCCAGTAGTTCTTGATCTCGTTATCCGTTCTCCCCGGCAATCTTGCAGCAATCAAGGACCATCTGAAACCAACAAAAAAAGGCTACCCAGGTGAGATTTTAATGTCATTTACTCGTATCGATTAAAAAAACAAGAAAAGAACATACTTGTTACCAAGTAAGCTGTGAAGATTAATGATGAGCTTATCTTCTTCTTCAGTGAAGTTTCCTCTCTTGAGATCAGGCCTCAAGTAGTTTATCCATCTAAGCCTACAACTCTTCCCACATCGAAGCAAACCTGGAAAAAAATCAACACAAAACAATCAGAAAAACAAGTTCAAAACGCTCTACTGCAATTCAACACATCATAAAAAACCAACAGACCGGCATATTTGGGGAGAGATCTCCAACAGCCTTCGCCATGAAGTTTGATGTAGTTAATGAGACGCTCATCTTCTTCCCTTGTCCATGCACCTTTGTTGGTATGCTCTTTCTCACAACAAGGAGATCTACCCATGAGGAATCTATTTCTTCTTTCTGTGTTTTTTTATGGAGATAATGAAGAAAGGAAGTGGTGGCGGAAAATAAACAGAGGAGATGGGTGCCTGTAATTGAACCAGGGCCCTCTTTCTTGTGATATTTTTTTATATATGCAAAGGTTTTTGACCGAGTTGGTGAGGAGTGGTTGCAATTAAGTTGGTGCTGGATTTGGTAGGTAGCTCTACTTTTCATTATACTTTTTTTGCCATTTGGTCCTTCCTCTTCTCTTCTCTTCATTCTTCCATTCTCATCAGTTTCGTTTTCTGCACCATATTTTTTTCTCTACCATTCCTGAATATCTTAACTTAAAAAATATAAATTATATTAGAATTTGGCATATTTACATCGTAGGTGAAAGAAAATGATCATATAGATTAAATCGTAAAAGATTTATACACATTTATTAATTTTATGTATTAAAAAACATTTTCTTATATAAATATAAACTTGGTCAAAATGTCTACAAAACCCTCATTTACATCTTTACTTACTTCTAACATTTTTACTTTTGGCAATCCCTTTGTAAAATAAACACTCATCAGCCATGTTGGATGTGAAAGTGAAAAGAACCGAATTGTGATAAAATTGTAAATGCTTGGGCCAAAATTGTAATATAACACAAATAATGTCTTCCTTGTGCAAAATGGCACTAAACACAGTTAGAGAGTTCTTTTCCTATATATCTTCCGATATGCTCTTACTTTCCACCCTCTTCTATTTTAAAATATTTATTTATAATCGGTCTTTAAAAAGGTTTCTAGAAGACCATATTACCTTCTCCACTCACAAGTCAATTTCGGGAAAGGGCCGTCTTAAAGAAATATATTATTGATTTTATTATTATTTTTTAATAAAATTGGTAAAAAATATTTAAAATATTATTATTTTTATTTAAAATATTAATATTTTTTAACAGTTTCTGTAAAGTACATAATAATAATAAAATCGATAAAAAAAATAATATTTTAATTATCATTTTATCATATATATTAATAAATTCGGTTAATTGTATATTAAAACTGCGTCACGTGAGCCTTTCCCCAATTTTAGTAGACAGGTAACTCTTCCTATTTAAGTTAGTTTTGCCAAATTTCGGCTAACTTCCTAAGTTTTAAAGTGTATAATAATAAAATGGATTAGTAAACAAATTATTATTCCTTTTGAAAAACAAATGAAAAGTCATTTTCAGAATTCAACCAACCATCCAATATTCTAGAAAGGAAGTACGTCACTAGAGGCCGGCCATGCCTTTGTTTATTTTTATTATTACAGGGATTGTTGGTCAGATATTCTCATCTCCTTTCCTTCTCATTCTAACCTTCTAGAAACATATTCATTTTTTAGAATAAAGGGTAAATTACACGTTTAGTACATAAATTATATGTTTTAATACTTAAACTTTTTATTTTTTCAAAATCATGTCTAACATTTTGTTTTTGTTTCGTTTTAGAATCACGCTGTTAGAAACTTGACGGTGATTTGCACGTGGAACATTCAGTTGATTAGCAACAAAACAAGAGTGAGGAGATAGTTGAGTGATGAATGATGTAATTTACCCAAAAAATATAACGTTGCTAAGTTTTTAATGACGATGTACTAAAATGAAATAAAAACTAAACGTTGGTTATAGTTTTGAAAAAATTAAAAGTTTATGTACTAAAACGGATCAAAACTGGTAGTTTAGATATTGAATGCGTAATTTACACTCGAATGATTTTTTATTAAGCTAAGGTGATTACAAAGTAGTATATGTTCTAAATACTCTCAATCATTTGACAATGAACGTTCAATGACCCTGCTGCAATCGTTGGTGCTTAAACCTATAACCTTTAAAAAACATCAACAATTCCTTTAAAAACCGAAGTAAGTTGGTCCATGCCTCGAATAAATTGTTAGTATAAGGGAAAAACTAATTTTTGGAGAATCCTTTTGGGTTTGGTCATCTACCCTCAAGGTGCGTTTGGTTCACGGAATGTAAGATTACCAGTAGGAATAAAAAATTACCAGGAAATAGAATTACTGAGAATGTTGTAGTTTGTGTTTGGTTGGTTTAGCAGGAATGTAAGATTATCGTGTTTGGTTAAAGGAATAAAAGATTATTAGAATGTATATTTGACCAAATTGTCCTTATTATATATTTATTTTTTTAACAAGTTGGAAAATAATTATATATTTTCTTTAAAAAATTTAAATTCATAAAATTTATATAATTTTTTTTACAAAATTGAAAATATAAAAAGGTTTAATGAAAGGGTAAAATTTTATTTTAATCCCTGAACTTCATATAAAATTTTAATTATTGATTTTTTTTATAAATCTAAAATAGTTTAAGGATAAATTTGTAATTTAACCTTCGTATAATTTTTATTAGTCAATGACAGAATAAGGATATTTTTGAAAGAAAATTTTTTAAGGGTATTTTAGTCCAAAACGTCGGTAATCCAACAATACCCAAGGAAAGGGAGGTAATGACATTCCCAGTAATATACCCAAAAAAATCTACTATTGGTAATGTAAGATTACCGGGAATGACATTCCCGGCCAACCAAACGGTGGAATGTGGATTTCATTCTCATGGGAATCTCACATTCTCCCAACCAAACACACCCTTAAGCTTTCCCTACTTTATTATTTATTTACAATATCTTTTTTTTTGGTAAGTGTTGTATGCTCATATATATTCACAGTATAATTCTTTAATACGCATTCAATAATTTTTTATTTTTAAAATTATAAATAGAGTTTAAGTATTATCTTATCTCATTAATTGATATTTAAAAAAAATTATCACTGAAATCTCTTAAAAAGTTTTAGTGATAAAAAAGAGTGTTATTCTTTTTAGGCGATTTGAGTCGAACGATAGGGAGTGCAATATGTGTCTTATTAATGATTAAGAGATATGCTGAGTAAATACTATCTTATAATCACTCTAAACTATTCAAAAAAATTATCACCGGTATATGATATGATATTAAATCATTAATTTTTATGTAATTTATCAAATTAAATATTTTGTGTACTCTTGTATTGGTTGTTTGTTGTGGAGATAGGGACCTTTTTGTTATTATAGAGAAGATGCGATGGTGTTGTTCACGTTTTTTGTGGGTAGGTGGTAGTAGGTACCAACGGAAGTTTCCACACTTGAAAGCGAAAATTTGATTTTGTAATTACAATTTAACCAAATCCCTACATGATTTGTCACTCCTCGCTTGTAATAATTGGTATGGAAAAAAGGGTCAAATTGCAATATTCATCAAAGTTCCCTTTCAGATTCACATCCACATCCACGACTTGTTATGTTTGCTAAATTTTGGTTATTAGTTTTATATTATGTGTAAACTGTAAATTTATTTTTTTATATTTTAATTTAATCATTTTTATAGAAATAATTTGGTCGGTTTAATCATTGTACTATTTGAATTTTAAGTTTTGACTTAGATGATAGTCATTTTCGTTAAATTAAATTTTATTATTAATTATTGTCTTATAAATATAGATTGCTGAGAATTTTTTGAAAAAAAATCTTAAACCTTCAAATTAAATAAAAAATATATGATTTAAACGTAAAAATAAGAAGATGATTTATCTATTCACCTCTAATTGATTTTTTTATTATTAATTTGAGGTGAATACAAGATAATATCTGTTTGAAGATGACGTTCATGCCCCTGACACTTATGATGTTCGAGCCCGAGTCCTCAAGGAATAACAATAACTTTTTTTACCACGGAGGCCACTTAATTTGTGTCCCCTCTAATTAATTTGTGATTAACAAGACTGATAACAAATAGTTTAGTTTTATGTCACTTCTAATCAATTTGTGATTGATAATAACGATAATAAGATAGATACACCCTTAGATAATTTGTATGCGATATTATGAATAATTAGAAAGCAAACAATGTATAGATAATTTGCGATTTTTGCTCCGAGAATTGTGGAAGTTTGTTTGCGTTCCTTAGGGTTTGCATGAGCGTTTATACTCTGTCGTCGGCCTTGCCGACGAGCATCCCAAGTGACCCCCCGCTCAAACGACCAGGATCTCCGATTGACCCTAACGTTCAGCCGAATGAGAAGAAGGGACGTCAATCTAATAACTTAGAATATGGCTCCATTGTTCCTTCGAGTCCAATAGAGGAGGATACAACCCCGTCTGAGACTCTTATGTAAAAGGAAGCGAATGCTCCTGTTCAGCCGAAATCTTATGCCGAGATAGTCTCAGAACGTACAGGTGACAATTCGATACCTTTTGTTGGATTTGGTGATGATGATATTTCTATACAGGAAGGAGATGTTGTGGTTGATCGAAGCGACCCTTACCTAGTGATTCAGTTCTCTAACCGCGTTCATGATTCGATCGACTAAAATATGAGGCAAACAGTTTTTGGGAGACTCCTTGGTAAATCCATTGGTTATCGCGCGTTGTGGAATAAGATCAATCAGTTATGGCTTCCGAAGGGCTGAATCCAGCTTGTGGATTTGGACAACGATTATTTCCTTGTTCGTCTGAGTAATGCCGAGTGTAGACACTAATTTTTCATTATATTATTTTAATTATTATTATTATTAAATAAAATATATTATTATATATATATATTATTATCATTAAATAAAAAAATAATAATAATAATAAAAATATTACAAACCCATTTACAAAGCCCAAACAATAACCCTAAACCCAACTAGGGTTTTCCATCTCATCCCCAGCCGCCAGACGATCTCCACCGTTGGATCTGGCAAGATCCAACGGTCCAAAGTTTTACAACAAGACGCCCTAGGGTTATGATACCCTAGGAACCACGCGGCCGCCGCTGTCGCCACCACCAACGACACCCTCGCCAGAAGCCTCCAGAAGGCCAGCTGCTCCCCACATGTCACGGCTATGGGGTGAGTCACCACATAGCTCGGTGACTCACCGAACTTCCCCCTCTAGACCGGTCCGAGCATGGCTCGGTGGTGGCTATAAAAGCCACCGGATCCTGCAAAACAGAAAGGGGGGGAGAACAGAAAACAGAAAAAGAAGAAAAACAGAAAAAAAAAGAAAGAAAGGAAAGCTTACCGAGGAAGCCACCGGTGATCGAAGACGCTACGGGCCGACCAAACTATTCGAAATACCCGAAGGTAT